CGCTCACCAGCACTGCAAGCCGGATGAAGGGCACTATGCAGCAAGGAACATGCTCGTCAATGCTACAACTACATGACCTCACCACCACTACAAGTCGTGGGCGGTGCTACGATCATAGAGCGCGTCGACGTATCAAGGCGGTGGTCGCAGGCGCCGTCATTGCTGCGAGCCATGAATGATGCTGGGACCACAGAGCTCGTCGACGCTCAAGGGGGTGGTCACAGCAGCCGCCGTTGCTGTGAGCCACGGCGAGGCGACGTTGCAGTGCTACAAGGCACCCTATTGCAAGGGGCCAACGACGCTACAGGCGGGGCAACGCTGCTGAGCGAGAGGAGATGTTGCCGAGACAATGGACGACAACGGGGTCAAACCTTATATTCCGCTCGTGCGTTGTGTGATCCGCCATAACATGTGGCAGATCCAACGGGTTGGCGAGCCGACTGATTTTGGGGCTGGCGCCTAAGTGTGAGGGACTAGCTTATGGGATTCGAATTGGGGATGAATTCGCCATGGATGCAGGTACAAGCTTACACGCACACACGCGGTCTGGCCGAAGCCGCCAGTTCCTTCCCAGATCCACACGCAACCCGCACCAACGGTAATATACTAGCGTACACCCTTATCGGGCCCAGTTCGGGCCTGCAAGCCACTGGGGAAGTTTCTGGTCGCGAGTGGGCCGGGCAGCCGGCCCACGAGTTGAACCCTTGGCCTCGAGTGCTCCCGCTTGCTCTGTTCCCGTGCCAAGGTCGCTGACATTCCCCTTTTCTTCAGAACCGTCTTGACCCCAAGCCGGGGCACGCGGAAACAGCTGACGAAGCGAATCCTTATCCTCCCAGGTTGCCGAAGTAGCACCCCCTCCACTCCACTAAACCAGAACTTGCGCCACCGATCGGTTGTCAGCGCGACGAAGGCGCTCCTGCAGTATCTTAACAGGAAACTGAAGATGGGCATCAACAGAAGGAAGCGGCTTGAGTACCTTGTGTTGTGGATGCACACAACGCTTCAATTGGGAGACAGGAATACAGGGTGAATACGACTAGCCGCTGGCAACTGCAAACGATAAGCCACTTCGCCAATCTTCTCCAGAATCAGAAACGGCCCAAAATACTTGAAGGCAAGTTTATGGTTTGCTCTGTGCACCACTGACGATTGCAC